GGGGAGCAGGAAGGCTTGAAATCACTGTGCCAAGGGCATGTATCTTGCTTCTTCTAGTCCTTTCTTATCCTCAAAATGTACACTTGAAAAACATAAACAATATTTATATAAAGTAAAAGATATCCAGTAAGTCACTGCAATTACTTACATGGTTTTCTTATTGAAGACAGAGTCTCACTCTATGCACTGGGTAGAGTACTGTGATGTCATAGCTCAGAGCAACATCAAACTCCTGGGCTCAAGCAATCCTCTTGCCTCAGCCTCCCAACCAGGTAGCTGGGACCACAGGCGTTCAACATTATGCCCAGCTAGTTTTCCTATTTTTAGTAGAGACAGGGTCTCACTCTTGTGCAGGCTGGTCTTGAATTCCTGAGCTTAAACAATCCACTGACCTTGGCCTCTCAAAGTGTTAGGATTATATATGTGAGGCCTCACACACAGCTCTTCTTTCTTTCAAATTTCTTTTCTTCTTCTTTTTTGTTTGAGGCAGAGTCTCACTCTCTCACCCTGCCTGGAGTGCAGTAGCATCATCATAGCTCACTGCAACCTTAAACTCCTGAGCTCAAGTGGACCTCCTGCCTCAGCATCCAAGTAGTTGGGACTAAAGGCCTGTGTGTGCTACTGCTCCCTGCTAATTTTTCTATTTTTAGTAGAGATGGGCTTGTACTCTTGTTCAGGCTTGTCTCAACTCCTAAGCTCCAGCATTCTTCATGCCTCAGCCTCCCAGAATGCTAAGATTTCAGGCATGAGCCACTGTGCCTGGCCCAAATTTCTAAATAATAATCTGTGCTATTATATTTCACTTAGCAATTGAAAAGTGAGACCTTTGGATGTGCACTTTCACTCACAAATCATCACTTTGAATAAAGAGTGTGTATATATATACACACACACACACACAGACACAGATACACACAGACACACACACACACACACCAAAGAACACGATTTGACTGGGTAATAGGAGTCTGAAATCTAATTATTCCGAGCTAGAGTTTTGTGATCTGCAAATTCACTTTACTATATTGAGTCAGTAATCGCTGGGCTTTCTTTCTTAATTTTTTTTCTTTTCTTTTTGTATGTGGTCTCCTCTCCGTGTCTGGCACCTCTTCTCAAAGCTGTGTAATGGAGGCTCTGTCACCGAGCTTGTCAAAGGTCTACTCAGGTGCGGCCAGCGGTTGGATGAAGCAATGATCTCATACATCTTATATGGGGCCCTCTTGGTAAGAATGTCCATCAAGCTGGGGATGACAGCAGAGGGGGCAGTTTGTCCATTGCCTGGATCTTCATTGCATATTAACGATGGGGTAACTGCCTTATGATAAGCAAGGATTATTAACAGCAGGGAAGTGTAGCCAAATGTGGACTTTCCTGAGACGTTTTAATACCAGAGTAATTGCTTTAAAATCAGCATGTCAATTTCCCTTTTCTCTTTCCCCCTGTCTGGCCGTGGTGGGACACCATGCAGGGCCTTCAGCATTTGCACAACAACCGAATCATCCACCGTGATGTGAAAGGGAATAACATTCTTCTGACAACAGAAGGAGGAGTTAAGCTCGTTGACTTTGGTAATGACTGCTTGTCGTTTGTTTTCTTGATGTGTGTAGTTTAGCCAAAGGGGACAATTTATTGCAGTCTCAGAAGACTGGTGCCCCTCTGCTGCACCATAGGCTGAGGGACTTTTCCAGTCAAACGCAGGCTGTAGCGCGGAGGTTTTACCAGATGGATCACCCTGGGAGATGCCGTTTGTTAATCTATTTTTCAGCTTTCGAAGCAATTTTATTAAAGATAGAAAATAAAAAGGGTTTCACAAGAAGAACTTGGGTAGAAAAACTTTTTGGTTTTCTGGTCAGAATTTCACATCTCAGGGCAACTGTCTGTCATTTACATTTTGTCATTTCTGCTTTTGCATATGAAAAGAGAGAGCAGTTTGGTTTTTAAAATGACTTTCACTAGCCTTAGGCAGACTTATTCCCAGAGAACAGAAGGTAAAAATAGTCCTGTGGGCCTGGGAGCGAACATCCCTTTAAATTGTGATTATTGCTGCTACACATGTGAGGCTGGTTGAACTGGAAACATGTCTGGAAATGGATGTGTGGAAGGAAATGTGGGTCATTGTAGCTGGAGGCAGAGAACTAGTAACTGTCTCTTTGCAACACTTACAGCAGATAGCCACAAAGTGACAGACCATGTGGTTATCCTTTTCAGGGTTATTAAGTGGTTTAATCATCTAAATGACTTCAACACTAGCTCATTGTTACAAAAATGAGTAAACGGAGAAACACTTTTTAGTATGTTAGCAATATCATCACAGTAAAAAATAAGGTGGATGATTTTGAATAGTCATTGTTTTATTCGTATGATAGATTGAGTATAAACATGTATCAGTGAATAATTTCCTCAGAAAAAAATAAAAATAAATGAAGCTGTTCTGGGCATTTGGGTCGGTTTACTAAAGAGCAAGCAAATAAAAATAGCAGAGGGGGCACTTTGTTCAAATCCATCTAACTCCAATCATAGGCGGTGTGTTGAACATTAGAAAGGGTTTTCCACACAGTCCTGGAGGCAGTAAGTATGTTGTGAGGGAAACAGATTAGAAGGATGAGGATGAGCTGGGAATTGATTCTAATTTATCCACTCGTTAGCTTTGTGATTTGGCATGGGAGTAAATGTTGCTAATCTTTGCAGTAGAAGGTTCTGAATTTTCAGTCACTGTGGAAGAAATTTCTAGAAACTAAAACCAGAAAGATATAGTTGTTTACCAAAATTGTAGGGGACAACTTGGTAAAATGGGAAATTAGCCATGGTTCAACAGAGTTTCAAGAGCTCTCTTTGGCTTTCTGATAGAGAAACTTAGCTGACACCCTAACTACCACTCAAAAACAATCCATGGGTCCTTGGCAAATTTATGTCTGATATTCTCAAGAGTGTGTCCTTTGCTAATGAACATGCAGCAGTCAGGTTTCTAAGTTCTCATCATCAGTGACATTGTGGCGACCTCAGTCATTCTCTTAAATGGATACGTTGGTCTTCCGCTTCCGCTTGGTATGAAAGAATTTCTTACATTTGTAAAGTGTAAACATGTAAATTCCTTACATTTTCACATTTCCCATCTTATTTGGTTTTTAAGAAGAACCCTTTGTGTTGGTTGTAACTGTTATTATTACCAAACCGAACTAAGATCCTCTTATCCAGTGCAGTAAAGCCAAACACTGACCCCAAGATTTGTAGCAAGAGAAAAAGACATTTATTGCAGGCACCAACCATGGAGAACCAGCAACTAACACTTAACACTTGAACTCCCTGGTGGCTCACAAGCAAGGATTGTTAAAGGCAAGAGTACATTTCAGGAAAGCAGAAGTGACATGCAAAGTCAAAAAACCGATCCACACAAGTTATTCATTAGTTTGGTGCATGGGTATAACTTTCTCCGGGCACCTTGGGAAGAAATTTAGAACAAAGAATGATGGTGAGTCTTCAGGTTCCCCTCATCTGAGGACTGGGTGAGAGCAGGTCACACTTTCTATCTGGTGCAGGTTTCTGAACAACAGCTGAAGAACATCTACAATGTTATCTTTTAGCTTCTACAGGGAACCAAAGTCCCTGGCAACTCTGGCTTGGTGGGAGACTGCTACTGCTGTCTTCTGGCTTATTAGGTCAATCATTTACTTTTCAAGGCTAGCTAGATGCTTGGAGTTTCCCTTGAACAGACTCAAGGTTTTTCCTTTATCTGCATGATTGAGGGGACCTGACAGGCCCTTAAGAGCAGTTCCTGCTCTGTCTCATTGTCATTATCCCCAGTTTAAGATGAAAAACCTGCGGCTCAAAAGCGAAGCAGTCATATAATTAATAAAAGCCCTAATTGAGATGGAAAACATTGACTCTTAATCCAGTACACCTTTCCTTCAACTTTATTCCCACTTGGTATAATGAAGAGAGGTGGTTAAAGGGCATTGAAATTATATTAAAATTCAGATCCGCAACTTTGAGTCCTAGATAATAGTCTTAGTCAATTTCCTATTCCATTTGACAGACACAGCTTTCCTGCCAGGTTCCAGAGCTTCTAGGCAAGATAAGGCGTTGAAATCTTTCTCTGTCGACACTGATGTTCTGTTATAGATTATACATGCTGATCTTCTTTCTCCATAAAACGAAGCACCTTATTAAGAACAAAATCACCTGAAATAATTTGGAAATAGAACAGGAAGATATTTTGGGATGATGCTGGTTGGTGATATTTTTCTTTTATTCTAAGTCTACAATGATATGGACAGGAATGTTCATTAGGAAAAATACATGATAATGATTTAGATAGAATGATAAATGCTGCAGCACACAGGCTGGCAAACTATAGCTCATGGGCCAAATATGACCCACCTCCTACTTTCATAGGGCCCATGAGCTAGGGATGGTTTTTATATTTGTAATAAAATGGGAAAAAACCTCAATAATATTTTTATCACATGAAAATTATATGAAATTCAAATTTCCACACCCATCAATAAAGTTTCAATGGAAGGCATCCAGACTCATTTGTTTATGTTTACTGTGACTGCTTTTGTATTATGACAGCAGAGCCGAGATGTTGTGATAGAGACCAAATGGCCTGAAATACTTACAATTTGGCCCTTTATAGAAAAAGTTTGCTGACCATTGGTCTAGCATCATCCTTTGCTCACTTCTGAATTCTGACACACTTTTCTGGTAGGTGTTTCGGCTCAACTCACGAGTACACGTCTACGGAGAAACACATCAGTGGGTACCCCATTCTGGATGGCCCCCGAGGTAAGTAGGGAACATCTGGTCCTTGGTACTTGTTGAGTGCTGTGGTACGATGCCTTTCTGTGGGTAAGTCATATGCTGTCCAAAATTTTCAGGGAAGAAAACATCTTTTGTCTTCATCGAACTATATGAGTTCATTTGTGAGTGCTCCTGATGAGACTGAATCTTAGAAAAGTAAGATCAAGTCACAGCTAGCCTATAAGGGACCGTCACGAAATTAGAAAAATGTGTTCCCTCCAGAAGATGCAACCCTCGCCATCTCCAAGACTTGAGAAGTTCATCCAGCCTTTGTATAAATTAGAAAAAGTCAACTTCTCTGGATAGATAAAGAGAAGATTTGGTGAAGCAGCAGCTCTCATTGCCAACTGTCCTACAGAACTATACGCAGTGGCCCTGGTGCTTTTGTTTCCACGTACATAGCCACTTCTCTTGTGTACTTTGTTGGCTCTCTATAGTAAAACATGGCATTTGGTCCTAATTTAGTTCTGGCATTCTAACAGAACTCTCTGGAAAATGATGTTGAAATTTGAGGAGGCTTCTGGCTAAATAAGGCCTGCCCTCGAATGCCAGTACAGTTTTGCTTGTCAGGAGAGCATTTAATTACAGAGCATGCTGACCTTTGCTTGAGAGAAGCTGACGGGGATTAAGCAAATGGGTTCTTTTTATAGGAGGACTGAGGCGGCCACCTCCGTAGATGTCTTTTCCTCTCTTGTCTATCAGCATGGAGGGCGTTCCTCTGCGTGACTGCCATTGTGGTTTCCCAAAGGAGTGAGTGGTTCACACCAATCTCTGCTTAAATGTCTTCAGTGACTCCCTATCACATAGGCCCTCCCTTTCTTACTTGGGTTAGAACTACTTTAAAGAAAAAAAAATGCTACTGATTCTAGTGTTTACTTAAACCTTAAATGTGTTTCTGCAGGAGGTTTTAAAAATCACGAAACTAGATATAAACTCCTTGTCATTTATGTTAGTAGAATTATAAAGCAAACGGAAAAACATGTATTATGAAAAAACTCCAAAGCTGGGAAGATTCACGTAAGCAGCTTTAATTTAAGGAGACAGATGCGGCTGCTCCATGGAGCTCAGTTGTCTTTTATAATGTGATCATGTTTCAGAGCAGGGTAGCATGGGTCATTTTGAGTCTGGCTCACCCATTACCACGTTCCATGTGGCGACTCAGTTCTATCACTTTACTCTGTTTCAGCTGGTGGGATCCCTTGGTTCCCACGGCATTTCCTTTGGCCCCTGACTGTTAAACGTCTCTGTTGGCTGGGTGCTAAGTTAATAGCAAACACAATATGGACGTGGACATTGAGTGGCAAATTGTCATCTAGTTAATCTGGAATATGTTTTTGGCTCTCCCCCTATTATTATTGTTGTTGTTGTTGTTAATATAATTAGAATTGAAACAAAATCAGAGACAAATTTGTCGTAGAGACTTTACGAACTCCCCTTTAAGAAACACTGCAGGATAAAGTCAAAACTCCTTTGGATTACAAATAAAGCCCTTTATATTCCAGCCCCGAATCTATCTATCCAGCCTCATTTTAGATAACTCTCTCCCAACTTACTTGTTTTTATGCTCCAGTGGTAGTGAATAACAGATTACTCTCCAAATCCCTACAGATATGCTTTTCCTTTAAACCCCTGGTGTACTGGTCTAGCATCTGGAATGGCCCTCCAGAACTCTGGAAAGTTCCTTCTTTATCTTCAAACCTGAAATGCTAGCTCTCCTAGGAAATCTTCCCTCATCCCTTGCTGACACTGATGCTCCTATCCTGAGTTTCCCTGCAGGAAAGTCTCCCAGCTGGATTCTAAGCTTAGAAGGGACTTGAGATGCCCAGCCATCAATATAGTGCTTGTTACAGAATAGGTGCTCAAAAACTATCTGTTGGATGAATGAAGTAATTGATTTTTAAAACAAGACAAAGGGATAGGATAATTCGGGGGGCAGTTTGGGGAGGGCCTTACGACTACGGGTATTAGCAAATTTGTACAGATTTTGATTGGTTCCGAAAGGTAAGTGTAACTGAGGTCACTTACCTCACATTTGGGGTGTCCTAACATGGAAGACGGTGTTCCTGTTCTAGTGCACCCGCAAACTGGTATTTTTCAGAGTCACAAAATGTAATCAAGAGAAGCCTGCCCTTGGCTTTGTACATTTATTACGAGGTGTTTCAGACTTTCCAGCTTCAGTTGTATTAAGTAAAGGGTGCAGAGTGCTCCTTTAGGGGGCAAGTTAGTGGTCTGTGGTCAGCGTCTACTGCCCAGACTCCCTGGAACTCTCTCCTCTCTCTGCAGGGTGAAGGTAGCACCGCATCCTGCCTTTTACAATGGGTGATTGAGGCAGTTTAAGGTGTGGAGAGCTTGACAGCACTTTCAGGAGCAAGTATCTGGTTGCTCAGAGCAGAATTCTCGCAGGATGTGTCCTCTGGTCCAATATGGTTCAGACCCAGGCTATAGTCCTTGGGTCGTAGGCCTGCACTATTCTCACGTTTTCATTTTCCAAATGGAGTATTGCTTTTTCGAACAAAGCCTGTTTTGCTCCATAATCCTCCACAGGAATGTTCAGAAGAACAACCTTGCAGTTGTTTCATTCAATCGAATGTCAGTTCAATTGAACAACCATTTATACTGTCCACTGTGAGCAATGCTTTGGGTCAAGGACAGTCCTTGAAAGTATGATCAGTAATGGTTCAAATTATTATTGTCTTCAGGTGATGGCCTGCACTGAATATTAATCTTAATATGCTTTCTCTTCTGCTTCTGTGAATAAGTAGTATTTAGATTAAATTTGGCAACACTGCAGGCAACAATACCAGTACTGCTGGAATAAAATCATTGTGGATGACTTGTGCTTTTATTTTTTAAATGCCATGAAAAGATCCTTGATTTTATTTTACTTTTGAGAAATTGAACCAAATTATTCTTTTCCCACTTTTATTTCCATTTTTATTCCACAAGCTTGAGCAACTGTAACATTTAATTCAAACAGGCTGTACTATGAGCCACGTAGCTGATGGAATGTGGCCACACTATAGTCAAATGACGAGCAGTCAAGACACACAGCATGGACTGACTGTCACGTGGTCAACACTCTCTATGCATTTCTCTTACTGCCTCCTTGGTACACTACTAAAGTTGAAAAACAGGGTAGGACAGTACCCAGGCAGCAGTGTAGGGGAAGAATTCTGTGGGGTACCCTTAGCATATTAGTATTTAGAAACAATGATACGGGGGAGATAAATTGACTGGTCTAGTGAAAGAGTTAATCTAAAAGTCAATATCAGTATAGTTTTTTCTTTTGTAGGGATAGGAGGTCCTCACTATGTTGCCGAGGTTGGTCTTGAACTCCTGGGCTCAAGTGATCTTCTTGCCTCAGCCTCTCAAGTAGCTGGGACTCTAGGCACATGTCACCATGCCTGGCTTAAGATTGATACAATTTTTAATAAACTAAATACACTGTATGTCAGTAGCATACTGTGACTGTAGGAAAGATTATTTTAAAAGGGAAAGAAAAAGTTCAACATAGAAACTATGTATCATGAGCAAAACAATAGAAAATTAAGTTTCTCATAGAAGAGCTGAAGTAGGTGATTCCAGAGTTTATTGTGCCAGCAACTTAATCAAGTCATCAAAACCCAGATTCTTAGATTTCTGTGGCTATGAACAACGCCAGCTGCAGGGTTTCGTTGTTCAGACACTGACTCTGGGGTGGTCATGACAACATCGCCTGTATAGCATTCCAACAGTCACATGGTACAAACAGAAGCTTCCCTTTATAACCATGTGGCTGTCTTGCAGCCAGCCAAGACATTGAAGTGTGGTTTCTTCCTGTCCTGGGGTGGAAGACTTGTTTAGCCCTTATTTATTTCCTAGGTCTGTTGTCATCAAGTGGCTCACAACAGCGGAAGCAGGAGAGGTCTGCTGACAGTCCTTGGCGTGTCTTGGCTTGCAGCCGCACAGCTCCAGGCTCTGCCGCAGTGTCCCCAGGGTGTTTTCCCTGTGCGTCTGTCTTCACATGGCCATCTTCTTATAAGGACATTGGTCACAATGGATGAGGGGCCCACCCTTCTCCAGTATGATGTCATTTTAACTGATTATATCTGCAATGATCCTAACTCCAAATGAGTTCAAATTCTGAGGTCCTGGGGGATAGGACTTCAACATTTTTTCGGGGGGAGGACCCAATTCAACCCGTTACACACTCCCAAATACTTAGCACCCTTCTTTTTTAGTAAATCATTTAAGTTCTCAAGATAGTCAGCCAACTATTTGGAGCCTGCAGGGCTGTGTGTTAAAGATACTAGCTTACTTAGAGGGTGCAGCTTTGCCTGTCTGGGCACATACACCCTCACACACACGTACTCACAGACTGCTTTCTCTCACCCTTGGATATTTGGGGCAAATGAGATTCTTTCTGGATGTACCAAGCATCCTCCATTGCCTTCCCACATGGGCCCTGACACCTTCCAACTTCTGTTCTGCCTGTTCTCTAGCCAAATATTTTACCACCACCACCACCACCATCTTCATCATCATCATCATCCATCTCCTGAACTACTTGGCCAGGTCATAGTCATTTCCCTCAACCTTCTGTTCACCTGAGTAAGCCTCTCTGGTCTCCTGTGACTTTAGCCTGTATCTTAGGCACTTTTTTTTTTTTTGAATAGTCTTCCTATTAGCCATGTTTAGCATCTCTTTTCTCCGCTACTATCTCTTGATGGCCAACTCTTACAAAAAATTACGTGAATAATTGTATCCCACATTTGCATAGAATTTTTACAAATATACCTGCTCGTGGAGATGCCAATCAGGCATGAGCACACTGATGTCAGAGATGAGGAGCTGAAGGCTCGGCCAGGCCCAGTGCCCGTGAACACAGGGTGGGCAGGCAGATAATGGTGACTGGAAGTCATATTGACATGCTAAACTACAGGATTTCCAATACAAGCCGTGCCTACTGCCAGTATTGCTCAGCCACTATTTGTACCAGGTAGTAT